AAAAAAAAAGAAATCCAGAGTACCCTGACTTCGGTCTCGGGCTCTGGTTGGCGACCCTACCTATACAACTGGTTGTCACATAACACCCCATAGAACTGATCATTCAAATCTATAAATATGTGAGGTGTTATAGTCTCCATCAGGTTATAATTTTTTAAGAAGACAAAACTTGTTACCGTTACCTTGTGTTGAAACCATTCGCAAACATTTATTGGCAGTTAAGCATGAATGTGGATTTGACTTGGGGTTTTTTAAACTGTTAAAAAAAAAATTTGAAGAAAAATCCCAACAACAAAAGAAAGGTGTTTTACTTTTGGACGAAATTTTTTTGAGGACAAGTCTTGATGTGAAAACTCGAACACTAACATATAGTGGTTTGGAAGATTTTGGAGGAGATATTGAAAGTAAAATTGGAAGTTCAGAATTAGCGGATCATGCCTTAGTATTTATGTTCCAGAGTTTAGCAGACAATGTGACACAACCTATATCTGTCTTTGCCTCAAAAGGTCCAGTTAAAGGTTGGATTACATTTTAATATATTTTCAGTTAATAAGCAATAAAAACAATTATTTGTTTCATAAACAGGAGTAGATTTGGCACAGTTAATAATAAAAGCGATTATTTTATTGGAAGATGCAGGTCTATAAGTAATGGCACTCACTTGTGATGGAGCCTCAACTAATAAAACAATGTTAAAACAATTTGGAGTCAGTGGTAAACGTGCAGATTTAAAAAATTATTTTTCTAACCCTTATGATGGGAATAGAAATGTGTATGTTTTTTCTGATGCACCTCATATCATTAAAAATATCAGAAATCGATTGGTCCAAAATAAACAATTAAAGGCAATTATTACAAAATATTTATTCAATTCAACCAACTATGTATAATATATCTATAACCATTTATTAAACATGAAATTTGATGTTAATTATTTAATTATTTCTAGTTACATCCGTCTAATAGTTTTATAAAATGGGACCATTATCGCCAAGTATTTGAAAATGACTCTAAGTCTATGCTGAAAGTATGTCCCAAAATTACAAAACATCACATAGTATTAAATAATTTAACAAAAATGAAAGTTAAATTTGCAACCCAAGTAAATTAAGATTTTTAATAAAATATACATTAATATAATATTGATATAATTATATTCTTCTATCTTTCAATAGATTTTTAGTAACTCCATGGCAGTGGGCTTACAAATTTATCGTGCACAAAATTGTAATGGTCTTGATGATTCATTAGAAACTCAGCTATTTACAACCAAAATTAATGATATGTTTGACGCAATGAACCGGAAATTCCCTGCAGAGGGCATAAGGGAGAATAGCAAGGATTTAGAGGTTTTTTTATGTTAATGCCTGTGGATAAGCTTTTGTGAAACATAAGTTAAAACATATTATGTTAGTTTTGATTAATATAATAAATTTAATCATATTATGTAAGTAATTATGCTTGTGAATATTTTTATGTTTTTAATGTTTAGTTTGTATAGCAAAAATCTTAATTCTTAATTATGTTTATTTTATGCCTGTGAATATTTGTGGTTATAGTTTGATTTTGTGTTAATATTTATATTAAATGTTTATTACATTTTATAAACTTTAGAATTAATAGTAAGTAGTAACTACTCTTATTTAAATGTTGTACCTTTGATTTTGAAGTATATGAGAAAATAAAATTAGTTAGTCAAAATGTAATAACATTTTATGAATTAATTTAATTTTGAAGATTTTAAATCAAAGTTTGCAATGGCTGGATCAGTGGGAACATAGGTATGGTAGAACAGGGATTAATTGATGAAAAAGAATTTCTAACAAAAAATACAGATGAATCGTTGAGGATAACTTTAAAGTCCACTATAGATTTAGTTATGTATCTATCGAGGTATCTATTGAAAGAATGTGATTTTAAATATGTTCTAACTTCAAAACTAAATCAAGATTCTTTAGAAGTAAGCTACTTAATAATTAAAAACTTCACGATAATGTAGTACATTACATTTTGTTTCTTTTACATTATAGAAATTTTTGGAATTATTAGGCAAACTCCAGGCCCTAATGATCACCCTTCTACACCAAACTTTCTTCAGCTTTATAGATTACTATCCATCTATTCATTAGTAAAACCACCAAAGAGTGGAAATTGCACAATTTCATCAGGTAAACATAAACAATTTTAATATCTGAATATCTGATGGTAATAATAAATAATTGAATTATGAGTAAACAATGTCCACCACTTGATATTTCAGATACAGATTATATCCCAGTAATAACCGTTCAAGATTTAAAAAATTCAATAAAGGAAAATGACGAATCATTTGTTCGAGAGAAAAAAATACTTAGTTTAAAAAACCATATTGATGCAATTATTGAAGAGGGAAAATGGGATATGGATGATGTATTCAGAGATACAGATTTTAAAGATGATAGGACGTTTGATTGTGTAGTATATTATTTGGCAGGGTACCAAAATGAAACTGAAATTTTGCTTGCAATATTTTTAATTTATAAAACATTATATTATATGTACTTTTTTTGAGATATTTGGTCAGAAAATTATCTAAAAGAACCAAATGTGAAATATGCCTGTCTGGAATATGAAATATTGATGGTAAAACATGTAATCTAAATGAAGCTCAATTCTTGATTCACCTCAAATCTAAAGGATTTTTAACTTACCCAGATGGAAACTTTTTTATGATAATTAGACTGATCGAGACTTCATATTTGAAATCCATGCTAAGAGTCCTAACGTTTTTGATGACACAGTAGAGCATTTTTTTAATAATAATTATATAATACCTTTTCCATGCAATGAACACAAAACTGAAATTGTTGAATATATTTTCACGTCATATTTGACAATGAGAATGAGACAGTTTACATTTATGAATAATAAAGAAAAAAAAGTGAAAATAAGGTAAAAAAGAAATTATCAAAATTATCTGCTACCTAATTTTTTAAGTTATATCTTATTAAAATATTATAATTTTATGTAAATAAAATTTGTTTAAAATAATAACAGTAACATTTTTAAAATATTATGCTTTGTTTTCTTGTTGTATGCTTCAAAGCTTCAAATTTCAATTTTTGTATCACACTTTCAGGTATAAGTATCATAAAATTATATTCAAGACAATACTGTATTTAGTATTAGTATTATTAATTATAATTGTAATTTGTATTACCTTGGTGGCTATTGCTATTGGTGTTTTACATTTTGAAATAAATTAATTTACATGGTTTTAGTTGATTTTTATACCAATATTGTCTTTAAGCGCTAGTTGTCATGCCAAACAGTGAGAAGCGGGCGGCCTCGGAAAAATATTGATAAGACCTTTCCGCTCCGTATCCTGTATATCTTAATTCGTGGTTGAACAGTTTGCCTGTTTTCATCGATCGTTAGATTAGACAATGATTCCAAGAAATCGGCCTTCAGTGTAACATATGTTGTTACGTGCAGCCCTTTTAGAATCCAAACAATGATGCAGTTTGAAATAATAATACTAATTTCAAAGTAATAAAATGTGTTTTTAATAATTTGGAATAGTTTAATTATGATACCGTGGTAGTAGCGGTGTAGCGGTGTGAAGTGACTTCGGTCTTACTGGTCCAGGTACATCTGATCAGGCTGTGCTCCTGCCTCCTTTATATATGCTGTCAGCTCATTTGATCTGGTCAGCATACGGAACTCGCAGGCGTCTTGGGTGTGATCGTAAAAGTTGTTGTTGTCGTAATGGAGAAACGCCGCCTCGTGTTCATAGATTGTTATAAGATTGTTAAATGCTTTTACAAGGAGAACCACATAATAAGGAAAAGCGGTTTATACTACAGTTATACTTAGTACATATTAATACATGCCCATTACAATGTGTTAAACACTTCCATCAGCTTGTCTATGTGCTCTTGTTGTTGACCTTCATCATCAACTAGATCGGCCAACTGCTCATGTATACCCATGTATGATGTACGCGCATCTTCGAGCAGAGCAAGTTGTGTTTTTATGGTAAATTAATTTAATGTTTCGATCAGATCTTTCGTTTGTGCCCTACGTTTCTTCTCGATTAACTTCCTCTTGTTGAGGAGTTGTTTTTTTATTTTTTTCATATTTCGGGGCGCACTATGACGATTGTCGATTACACAGCGAATACGGACGCGACGTACAACTTAACACGACGCACTATATTGATGAATATATGATACTGTGATCCGGCCCGAAAATGATGGGCAATTATATAAAAAAAGAATAACGCATAATAATTATTGTGAAAAATGTGCTTTTGCAACGGCAACAGCGGACTGCATAATATGTATTGTGTTATAACGACGAGCGAAAAAACGTATTTGCACAAAAAGAAAAATGTGAACATAACCTGAAAAACAACAAGTACAATAAATTACATTTCGGAGGCGTATCACTTGGTATCACAGTACAACCGCGGTTCTACCAGTTCTACCTAACTCGGTGATAAAGATATTGTGGCGACTGTTGTCCCACGACACCGTTCTCCAGCCTGCTGTCGTAGCGGCGTCAGTACGTCACTCCGCACCACTGCACCAGTCTCACGGTATAATAATATTATTCTATGGTCCGTACATAATCCCTATTATACTACATATTGTAAAACGTAGCACCGCTATCGATCGTCGCGCTCCTGGTGGCAGAATAACCGTGCGACTTTTGTCAGGCCACGTCTTTAATCTTTATAAACGAGCGGCTAACCTAATTCTCTACGTCTACAACTACTCGTGTAGTCGTGTCTCGTGTACTTTTCTCTTCTCAGTTCTCACTTCTTACTTCTTGGCTGTGGTACGACACTGGACACTGGTGCTGTGCTGTACTGCTTACGTTGATTAACGTCCAAAAAATCTTACTTGTTCTATATACGATTTAACGGCATCCGCCTTGGCAGAAATAGAACGAATTTCGAAGACTTCACAAGTTCATTTGGATTTTGTTTGTTTAAATAAAGGCTTCCCGTTGGAAAAATGAATCAACCAGGTGGGTACCATATTTTGATTATCAATAAAATATAAACGGGTAGTACTGTAACACATATTTACGTTTTATAAAGGTGCAAAGATGCATAATAAGGATCTGATCAAATCCACTTGGGCCGATGAGGTTGAAGATCATTTGGAGAAAACAACATTGCCACAAGCAAAGGTTGATCCACACGGAAATACCAAAATTATTACTGAATATCGTTGGAACAAGGATGACAAAAAAGAAAAGATAGTTCGTACAATCGTACGTATATAAAATTGAAAAACGACTGGTGTCCAAAACTATAGCTGAGCGCAAGACATGGTATAAATCAGTATTTTTCTTTTAGAATGCAATGAAAGAAGCTGTTGCTTCATTCCAAAGCAGTTTACCATGGAGCGAACTACTCGATATTGTGGCCGAAGCTGCTCCAATGGCTCCTGAGCTTTCAATGGAAGTATGTATTTAATTATTATATTCTTTATACCTGAATATCACTAAAAGCAAATTTAAAATAGCAGATTAGATGTTCTAATTTGATTTGTATTATTGCTTAGTTTTTTACCAAAAAATATACTATATTACACACTAATGCCAGAAGAAGATTAACAACTAAACAATTTCTTGTACCCGCCCCCAGCAAACACTACTATAATGTGTAATTACTATACACCATGCTCAAGTAACACACATAACCAATCATAATTCAGCTGTGTGCCAGTGTGTAACAAATATAGATATGTTTGTCGTCTATTGTCTATTTATATTCTAATTTCTACCCAGGTATAGGATGATGTATCATTATTTTAAATTAAAAATAAAATATTATTTACGATTGGAAGTTATCAATTAAATTCTTTAAATATGATGTGAACTTAGATGAAAGACATGATTTCAATCCTCATAAATATTAATAATAGGTTCAGTAGTTAAAACATTAAAGTAGTAATATCATAAATTCTATCGATTTTTTGGTACTTATTATTGCCTCACCATTGATTTTACACTGTAATCTGTTATACAATGATATTTTTTATGTACCTTTACAAAGCTTCCAATTAAAAGTAAATAATAATAAATTGTTTAAAATTAATAGTAACATAGTTAATAATTTTATTAATATCTCATAATTATACATAAAACTGTAAAAGAATAAGATAGTTTTATTAAGATCCTTAATTAAAGTCACTCATTTTATTTATTTCAATGATATAATATGATTTTGTTGTATAAATTGAATGCCATTATTCAGCAATATATTCCAGCAAATAATTAATTAAAATTAATTTTTAACAATATTTTATAATAATCTAATAAGGTAAGATAGGTACCCACTTTAAATTATACATACTTACAATATAACGACAAGTTAACTCCATACTAACATGATTAAAATTGAATAAAAAAAAAATATCAAGATTTTAGATTTTAATTTAGGTAAATACTGCTGACATAAGGTCTCTTGGTGAAAGGGTGATAAATTGTGTATGGCTTTGTGGCGGGACAATTACAAACAAGTACCGATTTTTTAAAAAATATTAAGAGGACGTGATACCCACATGTGATGCCTTCGTCTTACAAGTGTGTAACATAGCAAATTCTATGTAAAGCAGAACACGTGTAGCTCCGTTAGTTTAAAAATTAGAGTGAATTGACCTCTTATAAAATCTAAAGGTAAGATTATTATCTAGACAACCTCGTGGGCTTTTTATGATATTTTAATTTTTAAGCGAGCTATGAGTATTTTGAAATTTTAAATTGTTTATAGATCTTAAAGTTCTCATAACTAGTTTAAAATTAAAATATTATAAAAAGCCCATGAGGTTGTCTAGATAATAATCTTATCTTTAGATTTTATAAGAGGTTAATTTACTAATTTTTAAATTAACGGAGGTACACGTGTTTTGCTGAGCGTAAAATTTGCTATGTTATGCACTTGTAAGACGGAGACAATACATGCGGGTATCACATCCTCTTAATCAAGTTCATAAATATAGGTAGGGTATTTGAACTGTATTTTAGTCAGTGATAAAAATCTAATTTTTGATAAACCTTAAATCTTGTTTGCTCATTTGTTGCAATCACAGTTTTAATAAAAAACTTAAATAAAATTGTATTTTATAAATGTACTAATTAAATAAATGTTTTCGTATTATTCCAGCACAATGTTTGGAATAAAAATTTGTAATTTTTAAATTGCTTATAGCTTGTGTCATTATCTTTATCATAGAATTTTCTTATTATTTCAGATTACTGAACAACAACAATTTCTTAAAGCTGGTAAAATTGATGAAGTAGCATTAAATGATTTTAAATGGGAAACCATGTTTCTCCGGCAAGCCCAAACAGCTGTTATGCGTGACACTGAATTGTTACGTAAACATTGTATAGCTACACATCGACCAGAAGATTATTTTGCAGAAATGTTTAAATCTGATGAGCATATAAAAAAGGTACGACATGCATTTTTACAAAGCAAGACTGCTCTAGAACAAACAGAAAAAGTACGTCGTATCCGGCAAGAAAAGAAATTAGCTAAAGAGAAACAAGTAGCAGCTATACAAGCAAAACATAAACGTGATCTTAATGAAAACATTAAGAAGTTCAGAAAAGGTTTAAGAAATGATTTAGACTTTTTGGAAACTGATAGTGAGAAGAAAAATAAGAAGAAAGATGATGGAGGTGGTGGTGATGAAAAGAAAAAGTTCTTTCAAGGTATTTAAATTTTTAATTAGTATTGAACATCAAGTAACGTTTATATGAGTAGAGACCATATATTAATATTTAACTTTTGATACATTTTTTATATAACATAATTTATAATATTTTACAGGTAAAAAATAATGAATTGATTTAAAATAAATTTGTTTTCAATACAGAGCTGAAAAGTAAAATAAAATTGTCCATAATAATTGTTTATGAAAGCATGATGCTGTGACGAATACCCATTTTTATAACCATTTGTTTTAATATAAAGTTATTGTTTCCACAAAACAAAAATTAATTGTAAAGAATAATATATTATTTTTATACTTATTGATTTATATATTAATTAACTATAATAGTACTTACAATTTGGAATACATGCATAATAATTTTTACAACCACAGAATACATCAATTCATTTTTTATAGTAAATCTTCTTAAATATGTCCTATCTTTTATGTGCAGTCTTGAAATATTTTTGCTTCTTAAAATTACATTTTTGGATATTATAAGCTTTTTTTATGTAATTATTTTCCATACATTTGTTGACAATGTAGTACTTAGACACAGTCATTGTGAAAGTATACAAACATATTACTTGATTTAATTGAGATTATTGGATATACATTTTGTGAATATAGAAGTTCATCGTACATATTAACTTATTTTATTAAGTAGGACGAACAAAATGTCACTAATTTATTGAAAACATTAAATTAAATATAATATAATAATCATTAGGTAGTACTAAAAAACTATTCAACATTTCTTAAAAATGAGTTTTAAATTAAATGTTATTTTAATTATATTCATTATGGTCCTTAAAATTGAAAAATGTATCATGATAAATTACATTTTAATTCATACTTCATTATTAAATGGCTATCAATAGTTGTTTTCTGTCATGAAATATGTTACCCTTCAATTTATAATCATCATAAAAATAGTATTACCTTATTTTGATCATAATCAGATAAGTTATTTTAATTTTTTTTTTAAGTAAAATTATGTTGCAGATGATTTGTGCCCCCTTAAAATTTACATAATATATCCAAATACCTATAAATTTAAAAGTACATTTCAATATCATAGTTTAATTTATAAGTACAATTTTTGTATGTTGTTGGCATGATTTAATATATTAATATGTATTAAAAATATGTTAACTTTAATTTTTTTTATTTTATAGATCACAACATAAAAGAAAAGGAAAAGATACAAAGTATGGATTTGGTGGCAAAAAAAGAGGCATGAAAGAAAATACTACAGAAAGTACATTTGGTGGAAGTGGGAAATCAAATTTTAAAGGAAAGAATAAGGGTAGAATTAATTTTAACAAGAGAATGTCTTCAAAAAAATGAATAAACCAATTTTTAAAAATTTGAATGTACATAATAATTGTATACTAACAGTATACTCCTGTAGTAATATCAATTTCCTATTTAGACTTTTCAATACAAATCTTTTACTAAAACAACAAATTCTAATATTTTTTTTTCATAATATAGTTTTTATTTATTTATAAAATTATCATCAAGAAGTAATGAGGAAACTAAACGATATCTCTGTGTACTAGTACTACACAAGTGTATAAGTTTATCTATTATTTCATTAATAATTAAGTTTTGATAAATAGATGAAATACAAAGTAGGTATGTATAACATCAAGTACATTTTATACCTGCGATTATTGGATGGTAGGACTTGAATTGTGGACTAAATGAAGTAGGAATATTAATTGTCAACACAAATATGACATAACAAAACTGTGTTATAACATTAAAAAAAGATGGTGCTCTAGTACTCCATAAATTAAATAAATAAATTAAGCCACAGTGAATATTATGTAGTAACTGTAGTATATATGGGTACATTGAGCATAACATTTTTGATATCTTGAAATAAAACAGAATTTTAAATAGGTACATTTGAAAGTTTCTTAATCATAATATAGAAAAAAAATGTTTTAAGTAATTGGCAAATATTTGGTAGTATACATCTTTTATTTTCTTAGAAAATAATTACTGACCTCTGACTTAAAGAATAATTATTATAATATTCTCATATTGTCAAAACAAAAGACTGTAGAGTTTCATACCCAAGAATGTAGTTAATAATTGAATATAAATAATTAATCTAACCAGATAAACGTTAATTAATTTAAGTATGTGTCCAGAAAAATAAATATAATGCAATTTATTCGTGAAATAAACAAAGTAGGCACCTAGCCACATAGGTATAATTAATTTTAATAGGTTAATAAAATGTTGAATTACTTTTTATAAACTATTAAAACTACAACAAATGGACAAATGCACAGTTTATTATGTGTGTAGGTACCTATTGGCTATTGAATTACTTTTTATAATCTCTTAAACAATACCATATGTATTTAAAATAGGATTAGATTTCAACAATTAATAAAAGTTTTAAAATTTAACATCCATCAAAACAACCAATAAAACACATTTTACTAGCAAAGCAATAAGTATACCTACGATCGGGAGTTATTATACTATGTTTATTTAGCCTTTATTGACCTGCGCAAATGTCTTGAATAAATATTACCAGAAATTAGTAGGTCATGTTATGCATTATTAAATTATTTAATCAACTACATAGGTATTAAGAAATTTGTCTAAGTTTGTATGTTTAAAGTTTTGATAAATTATATTTGCATGCATTTAGTTTCAATTGAGGACAATTGAATTATTTTTTAGCAACAACCAATACCTATATTATATTGCTTTCGTACCTACTAACTAACTACTGACCATTTTAAAATTATACTTTTAGATTTATATTTAATTTTATTTCAATTATTATAACATAATTGATAATAATTAATAGTATCTTCCCAGTTCCCAGTTCTCTTTTAACTTTTTTAATGCACTCAAGTGCCTACCTATTAAACTATTAAATGTAACATGTCTTATTCATACAGTTGGGTTTTTTTAAATTTAACATCCTTTAGGCTAGTCTATCCACTGTAATAATTGTTTGTACAACTTTAAAGACACTCAGAATAAAACCAAATATTTACCAATTTCTTAAAACATTTTTTTTTATGCCTTTTTATTTTGTGATTAGGTACGTGTTATAGGTAATACCACAACACATAATAATTTATATTTGTCAACAAATTTCATAAATTTACAATTTTTGGGAATAATTTTCCTCCATAATATTTTCCTAAAATAGACATTCCCGAATCTGATTTTCCAGATAATATATTTTGTTCTTGTCATAAAAGCATTCCTGACAAAGAGTTTCCTTAATTGCATTGTTCCTGACTTTTTACTGTGTAGGTATAGCTATTAACTTAACTAGGTTCCTAAGTAGCTTAGTGCAGGTCTACGGTCTACATACCTATTGCCATATAGGTAGGTAGGTTTTAATTGAAAAACCTATTATTTCTGATTCTGAATCTAAATTACTTCACTAACCTATCTTACCTATCCATTTTTAAATGCTAGTCGCTAGACACAACTTTGAATATTATCTTTTAAATTGTTTATCATTATTCATTGAATATTGAAACAATCAAAGTTGATGATCATAGAAAGTATAAATGACAGTTATCTGTTTATGTGTACACATTAATACAGTATACTCTAACTCTATAATAGGTTTTAACTTTAAGGTACCTACATATTATTTGTAATTTTTAGGACCTAAAATAATTTTAATAAAATATATTTAGGTAAGTATACACCTATACACATGGTTTTAAGTGCAAATACTACCTATGTCCTTTATAAATTGTTGTGGAGTCAGTATTAACTGGAAGTCTATAAAATTATTATTGTAATTTTGTAATCAATTTTTTTCCTGGTGTAAAATCACTGTGACTCATCTACCAATAATTATAGGTTTTTATTTTTAAGTACAATATTATTTCCAAAAACATGACTTAAGTACATGATACCCTATACACTCCATAGGTAATAAATAATTCAAAATATACCTAATAACACAAATATTGTTAAGAATTTAAGATTAATCAAAATTACAAGCTTGAATCGAACATCATAAATCATATTATATAATGTATTTATATAGGTACCTATATCAATATGGGTAATAGGTAAATATTAGGTGAGTTACCTACCTCCTAGGGAATAGATAGCTGGGAGTGAAATAAATAGAAGCATAGCATGACTATATTCCTTTTTTTGTTACCTATACTTACTAAGATAGGTACTTAATTCATAAAATTATGCTGTATACAGCCGTATGTCATAGTGGTTCATTTAATAATACTTATACTACCTATACTATTAAAAATATGAAGTAGGTAGATAGGTACCTACATATATATTATGCCCTGTAGGACTAATATAAGAAAAACTTTTAGAATTTTAATTGGTCGATAGGTATCTCATATTTTATTTGTCAAAAAACACTTAAACTCAGGTACCTATACAATATACTTATTAGGTACATACGCAATACTTACCTACGTATTAAATTCTCAAGTTAGTGAACCGAGCGAAAAAATTTTTATCGACAATATTGTGAGAAATATGCATACCGACATATGAACTGCTCAACATGAATCAAAATATTTTGAAAAGGTTATGGTGTTAAATAATTTTATAAACAATCAACGAAAATTGCATGTATCTAGGTACAGCAATTTGTTTTAGAGTACTATCACTTAGAAACGAAACCGATTTTACGTAATAATTCCGGAAAAGATGAAAAGCTAAGCATTATTTCACGAGTGTGAAGTTGGGTGACCAAAGCTAGGTGACCAATTTTTACTGATAAGAAACCTTGTATGCTCGGTTGCATTACAGTATTTTCTAGGCGCACAACGTTTATATTGCCGTTTGTATGTCTACTTCTATTTCTAACCACAAGATAGCAGTAAAGAAATTGTTACGAAATATTATAGGGTCACCTACCCATCATAGTATTGTAAAATGACGCCGCAAAGCCAGGCCATAGCACTATACATGACAGCCATACGAGTATACGACGCGTAACGTATACGCGCGCGTGGTTTTTGATTTTTCCGGTAGTGTTCTTGAAGGAGTCGAAGGTCCTAACATAGATATTCGGAAAGCCAGGAAAATTTACTACCCGACGAGATAAATTCCAAGAACCACCGGGCTTTCTAAGTAACCGTACTTAGTAAACGAAAGCGCCAGGTGACTAATGCCGGTATGACGCGAAACGTATACGCGCGCGTGGTTTTTGATTTTTCCGGCAGTGTTCCGGAAGGAGTCGAAGGACTTAACATAGATATTCGGAAAGCCAGGAAAATTTACTACCCGACGAGATAAATTCCAAGAACCACCGGGCTTTCTAAGTAACCGTACTTAGTAAACGAAAGCGTCAGGGGACTAATGCCGGTATGACGCGTAACGTAAAGGCGCGCGGAGTTTTTGATTTTTCCCGAAGTGTTCCGGAAGGAGTCGAAGGACTTAACATAGATATTCGGAAAGCCAGGAAAATGTACTACCCGACGAGATAAATTCCAAGAACCACCGGGCTTTCTAAGTAACCGTACTTAGTAAACGAAAGCGCCAGGTGACTAATGCCGGTATGACGCGAAACGTATACGCGCGCGTGGTTTTTGATTTTTCCGGCAGTGTTCCGGAAGGAGTCGAAGGACTTAACATAGATATTCGGAAAGCCAGGAAAATTTACTACCCGACGAGATAAATTCCAAGAACCACCGGGCTTTCTAAGTAACCGTACTTAGTAAACGAAAGCGCCAGGTGACTAATGCCGGTATGACGCGAAACGTATACGCGCGCGCGGTTTTTGATTTTTCCGGCAGTGTTCCGGAAGGAGTCGAAGGACTTAACATAGATATTCGGAAAGCCAGGAAAATTTACTACCCGACGAGATAAATTCCAAGAACCACCGGGCTTTCTAAGTAACCGTACTTAGTAAACGAAAGCGCCAGGTGACTAATGCCGGTATGACGCGTAACGTAAAGGCGCGCGGAGTTTTTGATTTTTCCCGAAGTGTTCCGGAAGGAGTCGAAGGACTTAACATAGATATTCGGAAAGCCAGGAAAATGTACTACCCGACGAGATAAATTCCAAGAACCACCGGGCTTTCTAAGTAACCGTACTTAGTAAACGAAAGCGCCAGGTGACTAATGCCGGTATGACGCGAAACGTATACGCGCGCGCGGTTTTTGATTTTTCCGGCAGTGTTCCGGAAGGAGTCGAAGGACTTAACATAGATATTCGGAAAGCCAGGAAAATTTACTACCCGACGAGATAAATTCCAAG